CTCATGCACAAACTCAACGAAGATGATTTTGATAGAAGGGTTGAGTGGTGTGATAGCGTTTTAGTCCGTCTTGAAGACCAAGATGATCTCCTCGGAAGGATTATTTGGACTGACGAGGCGATATTTTCTTTATCGCAGACTGTCAATAGGCACAATTGTGTCTATTGGGACTCGTCAAATCCAAATAGGACTTTCGAGGCAGATAATCTTGGCTCTGAAAAGATTATGGTGTGGTGTGGGGTTTGGGCAGAAGGGAGAATCGGGCCTTATTTTTACACTGAGAATGTCAAAGGGGACTCTTATCGAGCGATGCTCGAAACTTTTGTCTTTCCGAAGCTCGCAGAGGTAAGAGAAGATTGGCAGGAGTACTTCATCTGGCAACAGGATGGAGCTCCTGCTCATTTCGCAAAACAGGTCACGGAACTCTTGGATGAGACATTCCCTGAGTGGCTCGGAAGAAGAAAACCTTGGGATTGGCCTCCAAGATCTCCTGACCTGACTGTTTGTGGCTTTTACCTCTGGGGGCGTCTGAAAGACAGAGTTTTTGCGCGAGGACCTCGAACCGTAGATGACCTCAAAGAGTTCATCTACGAAGAGTTCCATGAGATTGATCAGGAAGAAATAAGGAAGGCTTGTGCTTCAGTTGCTGTTAGGTGTGCAGCCTGTGTGGCTTTAGAAGGAAAGCAACTGAAGATGCACAAGGATTACAGTTAAATAGCTGTACCCGGTAGGCAAGGGCATCCGGGTCATCAAAACTGCCCAAAGGTCATCCAATCGCAACTTCACCTCCACGTGGTAATGACTGGGTAACTCCAACGAAGCTCTGCAATATTCATAAAAAATTAATTCTGAAACGTTTATTAATTGAAATGACAATAACTAACAAAGCGCTTATTGGACAATGATGAGACTTGACCAGTACGATTGTTTGACCTTGAAAATTCGACCTTAGTTTGACCTCTAACATTGTAAGGGACGATTTCCGAAAAATGATCTTGAATCACTTTGACCTTGAAATATGGCAAATAAGTATTCGCGAAATTGGCATCAAACTTTTTTCAAGTCTCTGACCCAATCACAGGCCGAGAAATAAGCGTTTAACATCGGTAAAGATAGCTGAAATGCCCTGTAGTTGTAAATGGTATAAATAACAGAATGTAGAATATAACAATCACCATGAAAATCACTTTCTAACTCAAGTCAAACAGGGCTTCCGCGGGTAACTGATATCGCGAAGAAAACAAAGAAATGTCGGCCATTATATGCTAGCTGAGGGAGAAAATCTTCTCCCTCATAAAATGGTCGACCCGCTAAAATTTAACCAATTGTGGCCTTTCCCTATCTACTGGAGGTAGGGAAAGGTAGTGTTAACCAAAACTGGTTAAAAACCAGC